ATTGTTCGGTATTTATTCAAGAGAATGTCTTTTAGGAAGATAAATGGAGCGTTTTATTCTTTAGCTTTATGGCATTCATATCAAGTGTCGTATATTTCAATGTAATGGTAACTACAGTACAAATTTTGTACCAATTAGATAGTGCAGAGTCCTAAAATAGCGTTTCGTAAGGCGAGAAAGTTTGCGTCGACGCAGCGTTGTGCGATATTTTTGCGCTAGCGAATGCGTCTGTCAAACCATTTGACATGAACCGTATTTAAATGAATATAAGGTAGAAAATCGTATTGTTCTAACGCATGCCTATTTGTAGGTCAGGAAAGTAAGTTTTACAGCATTGTAACATTTTGTACAATAGGTACCTACGCGCAATGAGTAGGCACTTACTTAAATGCAGTACAGAGGATACCTTAATAAAGATTTCCACTCAAAATAAAAGCCAATTTTTCAGTCGATCAATTCTAAATCAGAGAAATCAAAGCTATTCATTTCAGAAACCAAACCCATTACTCACGAAAATTGGAAATTTTATATAATAAATGTGGGTCACATTTCACCAATAATAGCTATGAAAAACTGCGGATTGGTGTAGTGGTTTAAAGATTGGTCTCCGAATCTAAAGGTTTTCGGTTTTATTCGGGAGAAATATACAAAAAGTTGTGATATGTCTTAGCATCAGCCATACATCAGCTTGTTTGTAAATGCGCATCCCGTCGGGGTTGGATGAAACTGTCGAGTAGAAACACTCATCATCATCATCTTACCGCCCTTATCCCAAGTACTTGGGGTCGGCGCAACACGTTTTGTTGAACACAAAATCGTGTTGCAAAGGATTTGACTTTTTACGACCGGCCGCCTGCCTGACGTCAACCCTCCTTGGGAATGCTTTTGTGGTGGATGAACCGCCACCATACGGTTGGCCCTGGCTGTATGGGTCGGGTTTATCCCTCGGTCGCCTCTTACGATCCCCACGGGAAGAGAGGGGAGAGGTGGTGCTATTCTACTCTATGTGTTGCAATTTTAGGCGACCTTGCTGACAGCATGTCGCTATAGGTAGTGGTACACGATTTATCTGATACGGCCTTCAAATATTTGTTAGACGATACGATAGATTTAGATTAGATTTAGATTTAGATTTAGATTCATTTATTTCATTTTTACATACATAGATTACAAATGTCATGAAGAATGTCGGTTTCATAATTATAATGCAAAAATGATCGTCAGATAATAATAAAATTCAAATACAATTAAAATAGAAACAATGTCAAGGAATATTAATATTAAAATACAAAGTAATTATCCAAAACTAATAAATTAATTCACAATAAAAACATGACAAAATAGATAGCGAGTAGCACCCGTATTTTCACCCGACTGCCTCAAAAGGAGGGTTATGTTTTTCGAGAGTATGTATGTATGTGGACAAGAAAATTCTTTTTCACGGGCTACAGCCCAAACGGATAGTTGGATTTTGACATATGAGGTGTCGTTAGATTTGTCTCAGCAGCGTGAGTGACACTGGCTATATTAAAAATTATAGATTCAAGATGGCGGATTTTTACAGCAAAAAACTACTTTAAAATTATCGCAGTCGGGTTTTTTGTTTTTTAACACATCTACTTGTTACAGTCGTTAACGCTCTGCGTCCCGCAAGGGAAGCCGCTCTGCGGTCGTCACAAAACCTATGGTAAGAAGCCTATTACAAGCAGAAGGCAATTACCGAGTCGTTCGTCGACTTGGTGTCCCACACAACAATGAGACCGAAACACGAATTACGAAACGGCGCGCGGGTCTTCTATACAGATGGCTCACTCAGTACTAGCGTTGATTTTGACGCTTACTGACTTTAACTGGAACCTCAGGGGAAGTCAAGGTAACTAGGTAAGTAGATGGTTGCCACGAACGTCATATTTCTTGGATTAAAATTAGCTCAGAATCATATGGCGTTCTTGTATCAGATTTTGCTGTTTTGATATTCGTATAGGTACTTCGAGATTTTTGACAGTATCGACCCTGGTTATGGAACAAGAGACAATCGCAAAAATCCTGAATAGGGTGAAGTGCACCTTCTATAAACTATTTTGTGACCGAAACGAGATAATTTGAAAAAGCCGACGCCTATTGCTGTAAAACGACAAAAGGTTTGATAAAGTCGGTGACGTCACAACCCCACCCCTTTGTGCTCTCAGCTGTCCTCTTTTCAAGATATGGTTCAAGTCATAAGATGCATCACACATCTTCACCAGTAGGTAAGAGCAGTTCTCGCGTTCACCGTTGTCCCTGCACACGCACAGTCAGACACTTAACTTAGATATCCCTTGGCGATCAATAGCTACAATTAGACCAAATATTACTTCTTTTAGCGAGCATTGGCCACATTATGACCATGTATTTATTTGAATAGGGTAGTTAAAAAAAACAGTTATCAGTTTTTTTTATAACCCTCTTATCTAAGTACCATAATCAGCAATCAAAATAATTAGTATCACCAGGCCCGTTTATGGGTTAAATATTGGGTGAAATTTTACTAGTCACCGATAGCGAAAACTCAGAACCGGCTGGTAATAAGGAACAACTTTCCCCAAGGAACATAATTAGGTCGAAACCTTAAAAAAAAATTTGACCTCCCATACAAAATTTCCGATCAGCTGATTTGAGTTGCTATGGGAGGTCCAAATATTTTTTCATATTTCGACCTATGTTCCTTGGGGCAAGTTGTTCCTTATCACGAGCCAGTTCTGAGTTTTCGCTATCGGTCACTAGTAAAATTTTACCCTACCTATATGAAATCTTATGAATTTCTTGTAACATGCACCATCCTCCAGAATACCAGGAGCCATCCTATAACGTCGGACGATATTAAAAATGATAAGTATTTGACCCGGCCTTAAGACCGCCTTATTGGTGAAGATTCGGTAGCTCGATTTTAACCCAACTTGCCACGGTCCCGGTACGTCACACATTAAACCAAACCCCTATTCATCATTGAGCTATTATCTTACTTTTAATTCGCCACGATCTACGTTGATTAGTGTTTTTTCTACTTGTACTAGAATAGGTACTATGTAGTCCATCAAGAAATCACAACACAAAGAACGAATAATGAAAAAAAATTGGTCGTCCTATACTAACTTGCCGACCAGCTGATTTGAGTTACAATGAGAGGTCTGAATGTTTTTTTAATGTTTCGTTCTAAGTATGTTCTTAGGGAAAAAATTACCTTATCGTCAACCGGTTTTAAGTTTTTGATATCGGTCACTAGTAAAATTTCACCCTAAATGTATTAAACATTCAAATCTTCCTCTTAAATCGCCTATCTATTCAAATATGGCATCAATATACGTTGCGTGGATTCGTATTACCTAGTAGTAGTTAGCGGTTTCTTTCACAGACAGACAGTCGGAGAAAATTGAAAATTGGCCCATAGCACAAAATAGAGAGAGCACAATTACTCAGCCCTTTTTTCAATTTTCGCGACTGTCACTGCCAGGGATGCTAGATTCAATACGAGAACGAAATACAGCTCTAAATCTGATACAAAAACGTCATAATATGATTCTGAGACGATTTGAATGCAAGAAATAATGACTCATGGCAATCATGTTCTTAGTTACCTTGAGTTCCTCCGAGATTCCAGTTTATTCCAGTAAATGTCAGTAAGCTTCGGAATCGTCGCTAATATTGTGTAAGCCATCTGTAAAGGCGCCCCGCGTGCCTTCTCCCTATACTAATTTGTGCTCATAGTATGAATAAAAAATTTGATGACGAATCGGAACAGTGGCGAACTGGCCTTAGCTCGATAGGTCGATTTAAAAAAAGGGATCATCCGTGACGAAATTCTTTTTCCTTACCGAACTGTCACTAAAATGTCTAATTAAGTCCTCGGGAGAAGGGACGTAAGCATTTTTGGATTTAATAAAGATAAGGACGGATTTCGATGCTTACATAATGTTTTAAGGGTAGACGACGTTATTAAATAACGAAGGGTTTTCGTGCCGGGTCGTCTAACGACCCGATGAACCCTAGTGTAGAAGATTTTCAACCGCCTACTGCAAGTACAGGCCTCTTATATGGTTGTGTAACGACCGCTGTCTATGTACCTAATCTAATCATAGACAGCAACCCGGAAGGCCTTAACGTACCCTCCGAAGCACAGTCTGGTCAACCCAACGATCCGTTGAACCATAGCATCAAAAAATTAGATTTTGTATTATAAAACTACAGGTAAAATTCGCATTTTTTTATACAATTGTCGTAATACATATTTGATCAGCTTGTTTTGCACATATTAGTGATATTATAGAGATTTAATTATAAAAAATGTACATAGTTTCTTTCATAAGGTCAAATATTTTGATAATAGAAAATACATTTCAGAGAAAAGTTTCGATACATAAAGATCCACATATTTCTCCTTTCATATCAGGATCAAAGGTACGGATAATTTTTCGGTAAAAATATTCTTTTATCAAAGAATAAGGTTATCTTGGAAAATGGGTGTGTGTATCGAATAGTTTCTAGGGATGGGGATAGTCGATAAAATAGCTATCAAACCATGAGAACACTGAATACCTATATTTTTTAAATAGCTTACGGTAGATACTAGCGACGACATTTCCTTCTGGGTGCTATTTACCAGCAGTTAATTGAGCATACCTATTTTCATGCTATTACTTGGCACCAGTTGGTTTGTTTTAAAAAAGACTTTTCTAAAACGACGAGAGTGTTAACAAGTTTTTGTCCGTTGAATACCAAATTTTTAAAACACTTCTCGTGTTAGGTATAAACTGTTACTTTTTCAAAAATTGTTTACCTAACACGAGAAGTGTTTTAAAATTTGGTATTCAATTTATTGCGGGTTTTCATCGCTTTGACTACATTCAATCTGCAAAGAATGAATTAGTCGCTGGGAATTAGTTGCAAAAACTAACCCGGTAGATGGAGCCCGTCCACGCGTTAGTGGACAAGATATACTTGCTAAAATCGCAGGCTCGATTAGAACCGCGGTTGCCCAGTTGGTAATGGCATCGGCAGTACAGAATATGCCGAAGGTCGCAGTTTCAAATCCTGCCTGCGGCGGAAAAATTTTGAAGGTTTTCCAAAAAAATTTGACTTTTATTCAGCTACACTATCCTTAATTAACAAAGGCTATTTTTATCCCCGTATTAACGACAATATTTTACAGAAAAACTGAAATAAGTCAGCATTTCTCAAGTTAGGTAATCATAATCCTCATTTACAACAGACTCTTTAGACTATCATATTGGGTGTATTGCATCTAAAGTCTGCAAAATCTTTCGATATCGATATGTTTACTTTACCTCATCTCTACACTAAAATAGGTAATAATAATGCGGGTAGTTCGATACCACCAGCCACCGATCAAAGTTCAGCATCCAATCTGTATTATTACGAGCGATCATGTGGATAAGCTGGTTTTGATAGGTGAGGTCGCAGGTTCGAATCCAGTCAACAAAAAATACATGCGAAAATTTCAAGAGATTTTCAAAGAAATATCTATTGAGCCTATTGAGCTCATGAAATTTTACCACAACAGTCCACTGCTGGATGGAAGCGATCCCTGTTTGTTGTATTTAATCATACCTTTCAGGCAGATTGGTAAACGCAGCCCAAGATGTTGCATTTAAGGGGGACGTTTTTGCCCATTACCCGAACACCTTTATTGTTTGCCGAAAACACATCGTTACCGCGTTTCAAAAGTACACTAGCGACATCTATTGGCGACGTATCATAAAGAGTAATGATAATGCGGGTAGTACGATACCACCGTCCACCGATCAAAGTTCAGCATCCAATCTGTATTATTAAGAGCGATCATATGGATGGATAAGCTGGTATTGATGGTGGAGGTCAAAAGTTCAGATTCAGTCCACGGCATAATTATAAAAATAAAATGCAAGGTTTTTGAGGAAAAATCTTGATACAGTTGTGATGGTGACGAAACATGTTTTAGTAAAACTTGCACGCGGATCCCAATTTATTGCTACAACCCCCGCGTAGTCTTCATAATTTTGTGATACAACTTCTAAGATACCTAGTGCAAAAAATTATTCTGAAATGTCTTGCAATGAAATATACCGTAGGTAAGTCTATAAAATTGGCGCTTTTCTCTTTATAGAGTAGACAGACACATGCACATTTCCACCTCAAAATCTAAAAAAAACCAACCTGCTACCCACTGATTGGGCATTTCATCAGTAAATCCGGTTATAAACGACCCAGTTAAAACCGGTTAGAAGCAGTTAGGGCCGGATCAGACGTGGCCGGTTATCCTGGGTTCGCGCGCAATGGATCGCGCCCGCGGGACTTGCCAGCAATAAATATACGTAATTATGTTGTAAAGAAAAATGAAACGTGGGTATAGCAGAAAATATTGCGAGAATGAACTTGTGATTTATATTTCACTAGGTTGATCTAATTATTTGTGGGTGTATATTGTAATCATAAAAGGATTGTTTAGTACGTCGTAGATATACCTCTAGATCAGCGAGCTTTTAGCAGATTTTCAAAACGTAAAAGTCATTAGTTTTCAATATTAAGATAAATTTTGGGTATCGTTAATGCATTTTAATTTCAAATTTTCTCTTCATCTCTCTCTTAGGCGCTAGATCCACAGGCGATACGTACAACATAAGACGTGAGACGTGGCGCTTGAAACTTTTTTCATATAAATTGTATGAAACAGAAGAGACAAAGTTACACACGTTATACGCGCGTAGCATCGAAGACGGTTAACGATCACTTGTCTGACAGATGCCATCCCACGCGTCACGCCGCACGTCCCCTATGGATCTTGCGCTTTAGCATTTTAAATATTATTTCATACTCGGAAATAAGGTGGTATCTCCTTGTTGGCTACAGAAAACTAAAGGTGGGCTTAAAAACCAAGCGACAGCGACAACGACGCGCGTCGTTGCCGCTGTCAAATGACTGGTTGGTATGGGTTTGTATGGGGAACCAGAAAAACCGAGCGACGGCGTCGTTGCGGCGCGCCACGCGCCGTCACGTTGACAGCGCGCTGAGAAGCTTAGAGTTTGTATGGGATGCGGTCGGGTTTTTCTACAAGACCGCAGCGACAACGACGCCGTCAAAATTTGACGGCGACAACGCGTCGCTTGGTTTTTAAGCCTATCTGAAAGGAGATTCATCAACAAAAGAGTCAAAGCATCTCTCGTAGGCGCTTAACAAGCTTCTTATATTTCAAGCCGATGTTCAGTACAATAAATAAACTGCAGTACTACTACAAGTAAGCTCGCAACTGACTCATTCCGTAGAAAAGTAAAATCGTGCATTGACTTTCGTAACAGTAGTGGATCTAAAATGCTGAAATATCAGCTCTTTTAGCATGCGACCGTGCTTTTTCGATTTTCTCTACACCTGTATGTCAAAATTCTTTAATTTAACTTGTTTTGATAAATACGATTTGACACATCTAAGGTCCTCTTTTTATTTTGAATGCTCTTTTAAATCATATTCGTCAAAGAATTTTGTGAGTTAATGGATACATACAACTCAAATCTCTTTTGATCAATGTTTTTTTAATCTCATATCACTGTTCAAAAGTCATCCCATGATTACACCCCTGCCATTCCAAGCAGAGGATTTTCTGCATATTTTTTCAGTCCATATTTTAGACATTTTCAATAGTACCACAAAACAGACAGTTTACAGAAGGTTCACTCGACACTATTTCGGATTTTCGCGATTAGCACTTGTTACATCGAATGATCGAAAAAAAATATCAAAACAGCAAAATCTGATAACTGATAACGGACGTCATATTATTATGATTCTGAGTCAATTCTAAATCCGAGAAATATGACGTTCGTGTCAACCACCTTCATTGTTACCTTGACTTCCCCATTTCCAGTTAAATTCAGTAAGCGTCAAAATCGTCGCTAGTACTGAGTGAGCCGTTTCCCTAATGTGTGATAGTACTGTTAGGAATATAAAAGGCTTTTCTTACTATGTAGGTATAACACGCGAAAGCACGCTAACGCATGCAACACGTGGCGGTCGTTAAACATTCTTCGGATATTTAGTACTGCACTATTGAATGTGGATTCTGCTACCTTTAGTTGGTACAGGTACTTTGGCTCTCTCTCTCTCTCTTCGTGTGGGACACCGAGTCGTTCAACGACCCGATAAATCCTGGTGTCAGAGTTTTTCAACCGCCTACTGCAAGTAGCAGACCTCTGACATGGTTGTGTAACGACCGCCATCATAGACAGCAACCGGGACCGACGGCTTGACGTGCCCATCCAAAGCACGGAATCATCTTACTTTTCGGAAAATCAGGAGGTTTAACTTGCAATGTCTTCACCAGACTGGGAATAAATTCAGAAAGTGATAAACATCAACTTTGTGAGTGACCCCACCGGGAATTGAACCAGGAACCTTCTGCGAGGCAGGCAGTCATACTAACCACTGCGCCACATCGGCTGTGTGGTGCCGACTGATGATAGCATCACTCTTTAGGAGTAGTGATGAAGATAGCTACCCGCCTGTTCGGGTTTTGTGTCCAGGGGACCGACTAGTCCAACCGGACATATCTGGAAGTTGTATATATGTCGCAGTACGATGGCAGAATTAGGTTTTTGGCCAAAAACCTAGGTTTTTGGCCAAAAGCCGGCATATGGCAGAATGGTAGACTTCCTTCGGCCATCGTCCTAAGCTGATCCAGGTTTTTGGCCAAAAACCTAGGGATTTGGCCAAAAAACTAGGATTTTGGCCGAAATCCTAGATTTGTTTAGTATTATGGCTTTTTTTGCATTTCGGGGGAACTTCTTCTTCTTCGAGTGGTACACCAAGTCGCCCAACGAGCCGATGGACCCTGGTATCAGAGTTTTCAACCACCTACTGCAAGTAGCAGGCCTGTAACATGGTTGTGTAACGACCGCCGTCTAAGTGATCATAGAGAGCAATCGGGACCGACGGCTTACCGTGCCCATGTGGTTCGGGGGAACGAGGAGTGGACTTTATGCACCTCCTTTTGATCTTATGAGGGTAGACTTGGACACCGTAAATGGACACCCTGAAGGACGGAGGGTAACATCAGACAGTCTGAACAGCAGGATTGCCTCGGATTCCCTGAAGGGCAGGGGGGAGCATCAGACACCATAAGAGCAGGACGTACCACTGAATGCTCTAGAGGATTGGTGGTAGCGTTGGACGCCCTGGAGACCAGGAGGTAGCGTCGGACCCACAGAAAATCCAACGCCCGTCATCTTACATTCTCCAGAGTGTCCGACGCTATCCACGCCCTCCAGAGCGTCTGACGCTACCTCCCACCTTCCAGAACGTCCAATGCTACCTCCTGCCTTTCGAGGTGTATGCCTGAACTACACGGGCACGTTAAGCCGTCGGTCCCGATTGCTCTTTATGATCACTTAGACGGAAGTCGTTACACAACCTTGTCAGAGGCCTGCTCCTTGCAGTTGGCGGTTCAAAAACTCTAACACCAGGGTTCATCGGGTCGTTGGGTGACTTGGTGTACCACTCGAAGAAGAAGAAGTTCTCCCGAAATGCAAAAAAAGCCATAATGCTAAACAAATCTAGGATTTCGGCCAAAATCCTAGTTTTTTGGCCAAATCCCTAGGTTTTAGGCCAAAAACCTGGATCAGCTTAGGACGATGGCCGAAGGAAGTCTACCATTCTGCCATATGCCGGCTTTTGGCCAAAAACCTAGGTTTTTGGCCAAATACCTGATTCTGCCATCGTACTGCGACATATATATAGCGATCGGCGGAAACACTTCGATACCGCGTTTTAGGACTGTATGGAAGTATGTAGAGCGCATGCGCGCTGCCACAACGCCATATCTTTCCCGTGGGTATCGTAAGAAGTGAGTAAGGGATTTGAGAGTTAATGTGTATTTCAATTTCTATTACTGTTGTAATACACACTCTTTTGAATGTCTCTCAAAGTCATGTCAGACGTGGTATAAATGGCCGTTTTTTATAGCCCTTAACACTCTGCCTACCCCGCAAGGGATATAGGCGTGATAAAGGTATGCTAGGTAAAACACGCGAAAGCACGCTATTGCATGCAACACGTGT